TAAATTGCGCTTGTTATATTAAGGTTAAGTAAGTTTTTTTTTTTGTACATAGTTATTAAGGCGGAAATAAATGGTATAAAATACCGACACAATGGAAATATAAACACACATGCAGTATAATGTGATCCTTTATTGACAACGTTTCGCCCACACAGTGGGCTTTTTCAAGTCACAAACAGATCTACCTGGGGTGGAAGGTACGCGAGTATTTATAGTCAGGTTCAGAATGCTGAGGTCAGGTGGAGAATGCTGCATCTGATGGTCTACAGAGTGGGGTTATATAGTCTAAAATCTTGGGTAGCTTGGAAGGGAGATTGGATAAGTATGTGTGCATACCTTCTGCAGTGTTCCTCCAGTGTTTCTTGGCAAGTGGTTAAGCTATGTTATAGAAGCCATTTTAGACTCGGTAGATCATCAGATGCAGCATTCTCCACCTGACCTCAGCATTCTGAACCTGACTATAAATACTCGCGTACCTTCCACCCCAGGTAGATCTGTTTGTGACTTGATAAAGCCCACTTTCTGGGCGAAACGTTGTCAATAAAGGATCACATTATACTGCATATGTGTTTATATTTCCACAGTTATTAATTTTTACATTAACATAAATAGAAGAATATATCTTTAAACGTATAAGAGAAAATTTTAGAAAGGGCTTAATTTTAAATAAGTTGTTGCTAATTGACCAGTTTTTACCTATTCGGCACGACATTATATATATATATATATATATATATATATATATATATATATATATATATATATATATATATATATATATATATATAATGTAATCACGAAACAAGTGATTTTAAATCATTTACCAAACTGCGGCAGGCCAGGACTCGACCCTGCGAACCTTGTACTGCCTCCAGAGACAGCACAGTGCACGCATCACCTTACCACGGAGTCAGCGGTCCTACAAGAACCAAGCACACAACACTGACCGGATAAGTTTATGAAGGATGAGGTTAACCATAGAACTGATGAGGGAAAATAGGCGAGTGGGGCGTTGAGGTATATGTGGAGACAAAAAACGTTGTCAATGGAGGCAAAGAAGGGAATGTGTGAAAGTATAGTGGTACCAACACTCTTATATGGGTGTGAAGCTTGGGTTGTAAATGCTGCAGCGAGGAGGCGGTTGGAGGCAGTGGAGATGTCTTGTCTAAGGACAATGTGTGGTGTAAATATTATGCAGAGAATTCGAAGAGGGGTTGTTGAGGTGGTTTGGTCATTTAGAGAGAATGGATCAAAGTAGAATGACATGGAGAGCATATAATTCTGTAGGGGAAAGGAGGGGTAGGGGTCGTCCTCGAAAAGATTGGAGGGAGGGGGTAAAGGAGGTTTCTGTGGGGGAAGGGCTTAGACTTCCAGCAAGCGTGCGTGAGCGTGTTAGGAGTGAATGGAGACGAATGGTTGTTGGGACCTGAAGAGCTGTTGGAGTGTGAGCAGGGTAATATTTAGTGAAAGGATTCAGGAAAACCGGTTATTTTTATATAGCCGGACTTGAGTACAGGAAATGAGAAGTACAATGCCTGCACTTTAAAGGAGGGGCTTGGGATATTGTCAGTTTGGTGGGATGTGTAATAGGACGGTATATATATATATAATTGGGGCCCTGATATTGTATTATATATGAAGTTTATTATATTATTTCAAATCATTTTTTATATTGTATCTTTATATATGTTTCTGAACTGTTGCATCTGGGCGCTTCTGCAAAAACAGTGATTATGTATAAGTGTGGTGAAAGTGTTGAATGATGAAAGTTTTTTCGTTTTTGGGATTTTCCTTCCTTTTGGGTCACCCTGCCTAGGTGGGAGACGGCCGACTTGTTGAAAAAAAATTATAAGAAACCATCTCGATAATCATAATTTGGTTAACGATACTCAGCATGGATTCACGAAAGACCATTCATGTCTGACTAATTTATTGATTTTTTTCAGTAAAGCATTTGAGGCAGTTAATCATGATAAAAAAAATCGATATTATTTATTTGGATTTTTGTAAAGATTTTGATAGAGTGCCACGCAAAAGACTTAAAAAAAGTGGCAGCTCATGGTACTGGGGAAAAAGTTCTGTGATGGATAGAGGCGTGGCTGATCAACAGGAAGCAGAGCGTATACATAAATGGGGTGCAATCTGAGTGGGGGTCAGTAACAAGTGGCGTTCCACAGGGATCAGTTTTAGGACCATTGTTGTTCCTAATATACCATAATGACCTTGTTAGGTAGAACGACACATATGCAACTAATGCGACATTTTTATTGTGATAACGTTTCGCTCTCTGGGAGATTTGTCAAGCTGTTACGAACAATGCAAACACAGAGGTGCAAGGCATAATATAATCGTTGTAGGTAGTAATAGTAATACTAGTAGTAGTAGTTGTAGTGGTACTTGTGGTAGCAGCAGTAGTAGTAGCGGCAGCAGCGATGTGATGGTGGGATTAACTGTTTTGAGGAGGATTCTTGTTAATACTTCACAGATGATGAAGCTGCATTTATTCTGCTTAATCGTATAAGACATAGTGATTAATTATTATTCAAAGCATTTACGTTCTGGAAATGTGGTTCTTTAATCACTAGTCGGGCGTCTGAATTTCATCAAGTGGTTGCCGGAATTCCGGTATTGTAAGCAGGCGTTGCTCAAATTATCGTTCCTACATGCATTAATGTGTTCATTGAGACGCATTTCGGGTTTTCTTGCCGTTTCTTATATATTCTGTTTCAGCCTTTACAGGGACGAGTATAAATTCCTGCATTGCCTCGGTCAAGGTCTTTAATTTTGTCCTAGTTTGATCTTTCATGGAGGTGCTGGTTGCGATGACAACTTTAGTGTTACCTTGCACGAGTACTTTAGAAACGTTCAATGCAATTTGGTTGTAGGGAAGAGTTATAACATGGTTAGGAATGTTAGTGTGTGGAGAACTAATGATCTGACGGGCACTTTTCTTGCAGTCTTTGATGAAAAAGGAAGGAAAATGTAGTTCGGTGAAGGTTTGCTGTATGTATGTACACTCCTCATCAAGAAACTCTGGACTGCAAATTCGGTATGCTTTTAGGAAAAATCCGATGGTGATGCCTCCTTTGGTCATAGTATCTTGACTGGAATAGATGTGACATCGTTTTTTTTTTTGTTTGTTTCCTTTAAACATGAAACCTTTGAGTGTTATCTACTTTGTGAATGACGACGTCTGGAAAATGTAGCTTGTGATTGGACTCGATTGTAAACTAGAAGATTCTGCACATCAAAACTTTTCGGAGTTATTATGAGGACGTCGTCTACATAACGTAACCAAGTGACGCTGCTGCTGCTCATGTAGGCTAAATGTTCAGCTTCCAGGTCTTCCATATACAAGTTAGCAAAGACAGTGCTGATGGGGCCCCATTCCCATATCATAGGTTTATTTGATGCGGTTGAGAAGGTCACCTAAATACTTTAGATTAGCGGAGCTGATGGTCCCCGTAAGGCAAGGAAGATATTTGGCAAGAACTCCGGGTAATTTGTGTGGTGCACTGCCTATACCTGATGTGATTGGTCTCGGAGGAATATTGAGTTTGTGGATCTTAGGTAGTTCATACATGTGTGCTGGTTTAGGGATGCTGCGTATCAAGTGCAAAAATTTCTTTCCCTCACTAGTTCGTCTGAGTATTTCTCTGGTTTTGTATAGCAGGTCATTGGTGAATGTCTCCCATTGTTATGTGCTTGATACGCAGCAACCCTAAGCCAGCACACATGTATGTACTACCTAAATGTGAGGTCACATTGGTAATAGACTGCAGGCGAGATTTTCAGCAGTGACCATAACAATATGGAAGGGAAAGCGACAAAGTAACAGTGAGGTTACCTGTGCATTACAACCAAGGAACAAAAAATGCCTGTTATCCTGGGTGTAAAGGGAACAAACACAGTTGAATTACTTTGACATATATTATCCTTCACCAAGTATAAACAGCAGTATGTACACTATATACACTACGCACAGCAATAGGTATTAGTGCATGCCACGGTAATGAAGCAGAATTAATGCTACTAGAGAGCAGATCGTGCTTCAACCAGCTCTAGAATGGAAATGACGAGGGTAGAAACGTGAGTGGTGACCACGTCACCTCCACAATTACCAGACCCATCTTTTCATTGGCTGAACCTAGATACTGATCTGACGATGGGGCCCCATCGTCCGACCCTTAGCACCCGGTTTGCTGGTTGGGGAAGTAGCCTTTAATGAGGGTGTGTACATGCGCTGAATAAAGATTACATACTCTTTGCATGCCACACCCCCACCACAAGAGGGCTCAGGAATAGGCTTCCAACTTCAATAGGTAGAAAGTGCCACCATGGCACTGTATAATGGGACTGCCTTTCCTCTCAACCATCCAGCTCTTAGAGCTCAGCTTCAGCTCTCGGACAGGCTACCCATATTACAACCCAGGAACAAAAAAGGCCTGTTATCCTGGGTGTAAGGAAACAAAAACGCAGTTGGATAACTTTGACATATTATCCTTCACCAAGTATAAACAGCAGTACATACACTATATACACTATGTACAGCAATAGCTATTAGTGCACACTACAGTAAGCAAGCAGAATTAAAGCTACTAGAGAGCAGACCGTGCTTCAACCAGCTCTAGAATGAAAATGACAAGGGTGGAAACATGAGTGGTTACAACGCCACCTCCACAATTGCCAGACCCACCTTCTCATTGGCTGAACCTAGATACTGATCTGACGATGGGAGCCCCATCATCCGACCCTTAGCACTCGGTTCGCTGGTTGGGGAGGTAGCCTTTTAATGAGGGTGTGTACATGTGCCAAATAAAGGTTACATACTCTTTGTATGCCACACTGCGGATGCAAGAAAAGGCAGTTGACCATGAGATGGTAGAGCAGGTGATAATGTAGAGAGGCTACCTTGGGATGCAAGTATATACAACACACTCTAGGTTGGCAAAGCAGGTGACCCGGGGATGATACAGCAGGGGCCAAGGTAGTTACGTTACCTGGGGATGAAAGCAGACGCAGGTGACACCGCATGGAGCGCGGAAGACTCTCTCTGGCGTGGAGGGGTTCTTGAGAGTGTATACACAGAGCATCCCGGTCCCATCATCGCCGCCTAAGTCTCCTGCGGGTGCGAGTCTCTCCTTTAACTCTCCAGCTAAATTCTTTCCACCTAAACTCTTTAACATAATTTTATAAAGTTCTCACCAAAGTTCACGTGTACACACACACACACACACACACACACACACACACACACACACACACACACACACACACACACACACACACACACAGTTTTCTTGCTATGGCTCACTGCCTCACTCATCTGTTTATAACAGCCCACACCTTGCCCTGGATACGTATCAGATATCACATAGATTCAAACCATTGAACTCCGACAAAGGAGTGTAAAGATCACTATCCTCATTCTTATTGCAAAGTTTAAGCATCATATTACACACACGCATCGAAGTGTTGGTATTACTACATTCTGGAATGTTTCATTTTCTTACTTCTAATGATTACCTGATTACTTTCTCCATTCATTCCTCTACACACATTCATTTAAAGATTACATTGTCTTTCATCGACGTATTGCCGACATATCCACGCCTTAGTATCTACAGACGCATTCCTTCCTATTCGATCTTTCACTGCCTAGACATTTTCTTACTCTCTCACCTCTCTCTTTTTAATGTTCACTTAAATCTGTCATTATAACACCACCTCAAGAACTTCTCTGATTCTTCCAAAAATCCCTAGGTCATTAGTAAAGAAAAACTTTATAACTCCCACTTCACGTTAAATTCATTACCTTTCAAGAATAAAACATTTTAGATGCTAGCGAGCTAGCTAGATGCAATGAAAACAGCTAGGATTCTATAAGGTTACATTCAGTGGGTGAGATTTTTAGAAATGATAATTGTCACATTCATCCAGTCGACAGTGTGGCTAAAACTGCTCAGGAGTGCAAAAATAACATTGAACTATTGTCCGAATAGCACTAGTATACAATACGAGTGCACACCTGAGCACATTTAGCTACCCTAAAGTTGGATAAATGCAAAAAATATTGAGATTAATTATAAGACTATACAGTTAGCGGCCATCTCTAATCGTTTGTTCATTCATTTAGTTCTGCTAGAGTGTGTGTGTTGACACCTCTTAAGGATCATTCTTATCCCTGCGACTCTGGCTGATTTCTTCACTCTCTCTTGCATGTCACTGCTGCACAACCTTCATCACTACATGAAAATATCTCGTATTATGATTTTATTCTCTCTCTCTCATTAACCCTTTCTCGTTAAACATGGAGAGCGGGACAGAGGACAACTCGTGGAAAAAGAAACATGTAAAGTTCAGGAAAACTATTAAAGGAAACTTTTCGACACTGACTTTTTTAATTCTAATACAGTGATAACTAGGAAACGAATATCCTGTATATAGTGGCAAGAGTCAAGTGCAATTTGTGAGAGGTAGTAGTAATAGTACAGCTGTGATGGGACGGGTTTGGTGAGAGAAGAACTTGTCAGCTTCAGTCTCCTAGATAAGCAGTATCTAGTTGATGAACAGTTTCGATACTATGTATCTGCTGGACTTTTGAATGATTGTGTTATTAACCACATTTAGAAGAGCTCGTATACACTTTGATTGTTGCAAACCTTCTTTCTAAACGACTAATCTGGCTTCATTGAACGTCTTAAGGTGTCCAACATCGTCTGTATTAGACACACGCGTTTTTATGGTCGTCACTGTCGCAGGCGTTCATTTGATAGTACAAGATAATGGTGCCAATGTTGTCACAGAAACTGAAGGGACAGGATTCAACAGTCTGTTATATTTTCTACCTACACTTTAACTGGTTATCCATCGGTACTCACGAAATCATAATAACATGACTACACACAAACCACGGAACGGGTGGGCTTTGAACCCATGGCATGGGGCCTGGCGTTTTAGGACTTACTTGCCATGGGTTCAGAACCGACCCATTCTGTATATACGTTTTGAACCCATGGCAACAGAGAATAATAAGACATCATTGTGATCCACTTAATTCATTCTCCAACCTGCAGTAGAGGTTCTTCAAGAACAAAATGAACTACCAAAGCACAAGTTCATTTAGAATGTTCCATCCCACATGAATACTTAATGTTAGATAAATGTGAAACAAAAAAAAAATTATTGTAATGTACTGTGTAGATAACACACACATACCGTCATTTTATTGAAATAAATAAAAGCATATTGCCAAGTTTTTTTTTTTAAATCGTTTACAAAACAAATATACACATTAGTGTCTTGCCAGAATACTGCCTCAAGTGCAACACTTGAAACATTTCATCAAAAAAATTTTTTTGTGATACAAAATTTTCACGCTTGTGTAACATATCAGTTTTCGAAATCACAAAAAGCACCATCTAAAAACTCACGTGCTTGTATTCGAGTTATCACAAACATAAAAACAGAAATAGACAAATATATGGCACTGGTGTTATTACCTAATGAAGGAAATCCACTAGAGTGGTGGATAGAAAATGTAACAGGTCTTCCATCTTGACAAATCTAGCCAGAAACTGAGTTCATCCTCTTCAAGAGAGAGGGAAAGAAAGTTCAGTATTGAAGGAACATCTACTCATAGAAACAGAAATTAGGTAGATGTTGATATTCCTCAACTTCAGCTGGAGAATTTTTTAATTTTAGCTATTATATTATTGAACAGAAGTAAGTGGTTTATTTACACTTCAGTTTAATAATGGAGAAACATTGCTCAAGTTCTGAACTATAATTTCTGAATATGAGTTTCCATTTATTACAGTGAAGTATTTTTTTCAGTTTTCAATTTTTTAAAGTCTTAAACGAACAATATTATAAGTGTTGGATAATTTAGTCTCATATTCACTGTACCTGGAAATTATTCAGACTTTTATTTTCACAATTAAACACGGAGGCTGAGTGACAAAAATATGCTGTGATTCATTGATGATCATTCTGAATATAAAGGCAAATATATCAATGATTTTAAATAATATTACTTAAATTTTAACTTATATATAATATGTTTAGCATAATTATGCTAAAAATAATTACAATCATTACAGGAAGTTTAGGCGAGGTCTCTAAGTCACGTCTCTAAGTCACGTTTATTACTCCACAGTCTTTGAAAAATATGTATTTTAATAAAAGAAAGATTTAGAAAATTCAGTTTTTAAGGCAGTTCGTCCTGAATAACCAATTCTTTTCTGTGTAATGATAGGCAAAACACCTTGTTCTACCCAGCCCCCATCTGCATCAATTATCCTGTCCCTACCCATTCCTGTCTCTACCACTCATTCTTCTTCACCCATTTATAGCTCAGTTCACCCATCTCATAAGCACAGCAAACATTCGCCGCCCACTCCTAACATACGTTGCCCTCGCCAAAGATTCCCACCCATACAGCCCATCCTCTGCTCTCACCACCCTACCATCGCTTACTCCACCCCTCAATCCCTTCACCGCCCACGTTACTACTGACCAGATGTGTATGCGGCGGCGAAGAGGTCAGAGTAGACGGGACTCCAGCGGACGTGCGAGACCACGAGACCGCGAGATTTATCATGGTGGAACTTCCATAGCGGCAGTAAAGACCCTTCAAGCGGTCGGTACTCGTCGCTGCCGTCCTCCCAGTAACGAAAGTCTGAAGAATAATACACGTCTTAAACACACAACAATAACACACGTCTTAAACACATACAACAGTAATACATGTCTTAAACACACACACACACATTAACAGTGTAAATCTAAAACAGGCCTCAACAGATGAGTCGGACACGCACTGGTTAACATGAAACAGACTTTGGTATTCATCAGTATTCTCTTCCCAGTAACTAAGTCTAATACACACTTCCCATGAATGAACGTATGAATGTATTTCGGTATTGAAAGTCTAGAACACAGTTCCAAGTAAAGAAAAACTGAATTGCACTAAGAGAGGCCTGAATTTTTTTTCCGGTACCTTTGACTTTCAACAACTGTCAGAATTGAAAAACCTGAACCATAGAGCCAAGTTCTCGAGGTAGGAACATGCTTCCATGATCCAGAAGTACGAAGTATACTCCCAAGCACAAGTATCTGAAACACACTTCTACTATTACACTGTCTAACACATTCAAGTTCAGAATGTCTCAAACATACTTCCAAGATTCAGAGGTATGAAACAGGTTTCGGTGTTCAAAATGTCTGAATTATACTTCCGATCAGAGGAAGTGGGAAACATCCTACCAGTTGCAGGAAGTGTGAAATATGCTTCAGAGTACGAGAAGTCTGAAACATACTTCGAAGGGCTGAAAATCTGACAGTTACATGTACAGGAAGTCTGAAACATACGTCCATGTACAGGAAGTCTGAAACATACGTCCATGTACAGGATGTCTGAAACATACTTCGAAGCACTGGAAATGTTAAAAATTTTACCAAGTGCAATAACTTTGGAATATGTTTCCTAATATATTCCAGTAATGAATTCTCGTACACTTGAGTGTAAGAGAATTTATTACCGGATAAAGGTCTAAAATAAATTATATATAAACAGTACAAACGTTAGAGGGAACTTGAAAAGCGATGTTAGTGAGCGTGTTTGGCTGAGCGAAAATAGTAAGATGCCTTTTCTCTTGTTAATAAACATATTTCTAACAAGAGTAATTGTTAATGAACATACATTTAACAAGAGCCCTTGTTAATGAACATACATCTAAAACTAGCTCTTATTAATTAGCATTTATCTCAAAATATCCCTAGATAATGGCCATATGTCTATCAACAGACCTCGCTAATGATATACTGTATATCTAGCAATAATCCGTTCTAATGGGTATACATTCAACAACAGTCTTTGGTAATGTACATTATCTAAAAACAGCCCCTGCTTTTGGACGGCATAATGATCATTAGGTCTTGCTTGTGATGCACTATTTAATAATCCTTGTGATTAAAGAGCACCTAACAAAACGATATCCCAATCAAACTGACGAGAAACAAGAGCTCTAGTTAAAGTACGAGTATCAGACAGGGATCTAACAACAATTCTTGCTAATGGACTCGAGCAACTAGATGCCTTAATGCTGTAACTACCCCACCATATCTTGCATCGGAACTGTTAACTCCCCTTTCCCTGACATTGTATAACTAATACAGGTTAAGAACATACCGAACGAACCTAAGAATGCTGGAACACTGTACCAGATCTAATGGCCCATAATTAACTCTTTTTAATGTAGGTTAGAAATGAGTCATATCACTAGAGGTGTTTTGCGTAACTGATCGAGGAAATGGATGCGAATTTTTAATTATTTCCGTAAATCTTAAATATATGAAAATATATTTTACAACTAAAATCATTCTTATTTAAAATCTGCAAGATAATAAATATCAATAAAAAAGTCTATATGTACAGGGAGAAACGCAAGCCTTGAGGGACGCCACTTCGCAACCAAGAAGTAACAATATTAGTGTCACAACATTGCTCAATTTTGGGACAACATTCAAAATTGGACACAGTCTTGTGTAACGACGGAGACACCAAGTGAATGAATAATTTACTGTAAGTGTCTTGGACACGATAACTGTAATTTAGTTCATATGAAGTCAGTCCGCTAATGGGAGTAACGATACCAGTCATCGGGTGCACGCAGAGCGTTTCTACATTTACTACAATCTATGGGAAGTACCCCCTATTAACCTTGTTATTCAGTTTAAGATCAGGTTTACAGAACACTCTATGGTGATTTACTAGGCATACCCAAAGGGGTGCCTTAAGAGGTTGCTCGATTTTTTCCTCCTAATTTTCGATTGTATTTTCCTAATAACTTGGGAGTGCCTCATCTAATCGCTTTCAGATTTTCAACACCTATGTATGGTAAGGACGACTATATTCCTGGGAAAACTGGCATATTCATATGCCCTATGATCAAAGCTGTTGAACCCAATTCCAGCATCCTGGAATGGTTCCGGTAACTTCCAAAACTCCCAGTGGCGTAGCTTCGAAAGTTAAAAAAAAAAAAAAGTGTAAAATCCTTCGACGATGATGGAGAGTGAAATTAAAATTAGTAAGTGCAGATTTGACGATATTATGTGCATAATAGAATTGAATTTTTATTCCTGCTGAACCACGCTAAATAAATGTCAGTTTACCCCTCCTGAATGGCTTCAGTATTTAATGGCTGATGCAGCTTAAGACCAGTAGAGTTTCTGTTAAGTTTTGTTTGCCTCTGGGCAAATTTATTGATGTAGTAAAACAGTAAAATCTTTGAATCGTTTGAGAAAATCTCATTTGATCGTTTCGACATTTGTACCACTGGTGTGGTTTGTTGAACACTTGGCTCACGCTGCCATAGAGTGGCGAAACTCTCAGTTTGACAGTTTTACTGAATAAATAGGTTTATTCATGTTCATTAAACAGTTAACGAATACTTCTGATTAGCTTCAACCTGCAAGTTTAGTCCAAATAGAAATTGAAAGCTTGGAATCATTGGCATCAGATCAATTACCGAATAAAGCCTTTTCTGATCGGTTTCAAAACCAATGTTGGCATTTGTTAAAACATTCACTTTGAACTGTGTAAACTTCAATTTGCCAATTAAATTATTTCCCATGTAGCAACTAGTGAATACATCTGATCAGCTATGGGCTGCTATTTTGCAAGTTTTTTTGCCAAGTTTAACAAATTATGTTTTCAAGAAATCTAAATATATATTTTCACAGAATTGTTGAGAATTTTAAAACTAATGAAGCTGCAAGTTTTCTAAGCTGAGTGAACCCTTAAATACTGCACGGCTTGGTGCCAGAGCCGTTCATCAGCTTCAACTTGCTCATACTATGTGTGGAAAATAATGTATTTTCCGAAAAAATCCAGCGTATTTTTTATGAAAATTAGTGCAATACATTGTATTTGATAAAAATTTATTTGTAAATGAAAAATGGAACCAGCGACGGGGAGAAGCGTTGTTGGAACCAGAGTCGTCATTGTTTTTTGAATGTGGTACAGGCACGCTAATGTAATGTGCACAATTTTTGTCGCTCTAGGGGCTATATTGGGCTTAAAACCTCTCAGATAGGAGCCGAAATTGTTGGACGTGCAATCCTGCATAACTTGAGCATTAAGCAGATGACCAGGACAGCTCCATTAACCTCAGATAAGATGTCTATGTTTATATTTCTGGCCAGTAATTTTTTCATAAATGTAGACAGGGGGGATTTTTGAGTATGATACACAGTTATCTCCAGACAAATTGGTGAGAGTTATGATTATAAATTCTCCTTCTGTTATATAAATGTGTATATGTAATCATTTATTAACTTTAATATACAGTCCACATGTATATATTAAATTTTACCAGAATTCCTGGTGATGTATATTTCATTTGCAATTAATATAGGTCTAGAGCAACTTGTGGATATGACAGTTGTAGGTATCGAAGGGGGACATTTTTTGAGACCTAGGTGTCCCAAAATTCCTACTTGTCTATGTAACTTTGATAAATAATAATTATCTTTGTTACCATTTGCTGGTGTGTACCTTATGAGTTACATCCAGGTAAATTTAATTTTCCACACTATGGAAGGTTTTTGTCTCTAACTTCAGAAGGTTTATGTAATCTGCTTCACATTTTAAACACTGGTTATCTATTACTAGGCGAAGATTCGCAGAGCAGTTAACATATGCAGATGCTCTCTGCTCACTTTTATATATCCTATTCCAGAAATTTATTTTTGCAAGATGGCTGTACAGAGTTTCGACTTCACAACACATTACCTAATGTTGCTGTAGGCTATATATTCTCATATATACACATGCACATGATAGTGGTGATAGCGGAGATAGTGATGTGGGAGTGGAGGTGATAGTGTTGGTGGTGGTAGTAATGGAGATGGTGGTGGTTGTAATGGAGGTGGTTATGGTGGTACTAATGGAGGTGGTGGTAACCTATGTGGGAAATCAGGGAAGTTAACTGATTTCAAAACTGTTAGGACTAAGTCTTGGGAGGAAAAACGGTGGGGGTTTGACGTAGAATAAAAATCGTGAGTAGGCAGAACCTGGCTCATGAGCCTAGACTTAATGTTGCCATGTTTCCTTATCCACTCTTCAATTATGAGACTATTTTAGTAATGAAGCCTTTAAAGGCTAATTTACCACCTCTTATAAGTATTTAAGCTAAGTAGGAGTTAGACATTGAGTAATTTAGCTTAGTTCATGTGATTACTTTATCCAGCCTACACAAATTGACAACAGATGGCGCTTGACGAGCCACCCACGAGTGCTCACTGGCTACCCACGAGTGCTCACTGGCTACCCACGAGTGCTCACTGGCTACCCACGAGTGCTCACTGGCTACCCACGCGTGCTGGCTGGCTACCCACGAATGCGCACTGGCTACCTGCCAGTGTGCACTGGCTATCCACGAGTGCTCACTGGCTACTCGCGAGTGCTCACTGGCTACTCGCGAGTGCTCACTGGCTACTCGCGAGTGCTCACTGGCTACCCGCGAGTGCTCACTGGCTACCCGCGAGTGCTCACTGGCTACCCGCGAGTGCTCACTGGCTACCCGCGAGTGCTCACTGGCTACCCGCGAGTGCTCACTGGCTACCCGCGAGTGCTCACTGGCTACCCGCGAGTGCTCACTGGCTACCCGCGAGTGC